AATTTTAACAAATTATTAATAATTGGACTAAGTAATTTTCGCTCCTCTCCCTTTTATCATCATCATTCAAAAGACTAGCATGTCACTCATTTTGGCAGCTGTCTTAACACAAGGTCCACTAATTTTCTTCTATTTTCAATCTTTTTAAAATATTTTTCTAATATGTTATTTGAAAGTACTTGTTAAAAGTTTTTTTCTTTTTTTGGTTACAAATACATATTAAAAAATATAAAAATTAATATTAATTTTAATATTAAATTAATAATTTTAATTATATAAATGATAAATCAAATATTAATTTTTATTTTTTAATATAAATTTATAATAAATATATATATTTTTATGACATATTTTTAAAATAAAGTTAAAAAAATCAATTTAAAACTCCACTTGTCCTTATAAGAGGTTTCCTCTAATTAATTAGCACAAAACTTGTCTTTTATTGTTTTTATTTTTTGGTAATCCAAACTTGTCTTTATCTTGTTGTGTCTTCCTTAAAGGCTTGTTTGGTGGACCCCCCGACAGGGCAGAAACGTTGTTTAATCAATTACTGCACTAAGCTGTATTTATTACTAGTTGACTAATTCTTCTTTAAAACCAGCAATTACACTAATAAGGCCTATTAGCCAGGGGTTTAAAGTTTAAACCCACAACACTAAGTTTTCCACTTGCCCCAGATCCATCGCGGGAACAATTAAGAAACTTGCAGACAAAATCTGAGGTCCATCAACCATCATGATGACATTATACAAATAAAATAATTAATTGAACGATACACACGCGAGCTTCCCTCATCTCTAGTTGTCATTGTTAGTGCTATGTCTGTATCACAGCCTCCCTTATCTTCATTTATATTCCTCCTTATCCTATCTGTCTATCTTCCTCTCAAGATTGAACCTTTCGATTACTTTCTGCAATGAAAGCCACTAACCTTAGGAACCCCTTATCCAAATTAAGTTAAAAACACTATGGACATTGTTGAAGATATTGTGATTGCAGGAGCTGGACTTGCTGGCCTTACTACTGCGTTGGGACTTCACAGGTATTTATTTATAGGTTATGAAGCAATTTTGATGCAAATAGATGTGAATAGTGGTTAACGATTTTTGCTAGTCCTGTATGCACAGGCTGGGAATTCGAAGTTTGGTTTTGGAAGCCTCAAATAGATTGAGGACCACTGGATTTGCATTTCTGTCATGGAACAATGCTTGGAAGGCCCTCGATGCTGTTGGTGTTGGAGAAACTCTCCGCCAGCAGCATAAGCAGTTTCAGAGGTGATTCTCTCCTATGCACTAGAAATCTATATTGTATGGTGTTCGATTTCTTGGTCGTGTGAACTGACCTTGGAGTTAAATGAATTCAGTTTTGGTGGTTACTCCTTGGTTTCTGGGAAAATCAATTCAGAGTTATTATTTAAAGAGCATGAAGTACGTTGTCTGAAGAGACAACTTTTGGTGGAAGCTCTGGAAAAGGAACTCCCGAGTGGTACAATTAGGTACTCCTCCAAAGTGGTTTCCATCGAGGAATCTGGTCACTTTAAATTGGTTCATCTTGCTGATGGAACAATTATCAAAACAAAGGTTAGTTCCTCAATCTTTTTCATTAGTTATCTGCAATTCCCTAATCTTATGCTAACCTTAGTCTAGTTTCTTAAAACCCTTTGAATTTGGATATGAAAGGTCTTGATTGGGTGTGATGGAGTTAACTCTGTGGTGGCAAAGTGGCTCGGTTTTGATCCACCTGTTTTTACAGGAAGATCAGCCATTAGGGCTTATGCAGATCTCAAAGGTGGCCATGGTTTGGGGCCAAAGATCAGTATGTTCTTTGGCAATGACATTCGAACAGGTTACCTCCCTTGTGATGATCAAACTGTGTACTGGTTCTTGGCTTATAATGCATCCTCCAACCAAGGTAACATTCAGTCCTATCTGGAACTTGAATGTCAATTAAATTTCATTGCTCTCTATTTTTTCTAAAACCATCCATTATGCATTTGTAGATAAAGAGCTTGAGGAAAACCCAGCTAAATTGAAGCAATTTGCATTAAGCAAGATTGGAAATTTGCCTGATAAATTGAAATCTGTTGTTGAAGGCACTCAGCTAGATAGTATTATAACATCTCCATTGAGATACAGACGCCCTTGGGACTTATTGTGGGGAAATATCAGTAAGGGTAATGTCTGTGTTGCGGGTGATGCCCTGCACCCCATGACCCCAGACATTGGCCAAGGTGGATGTGCTGCTTTGGAAGATGGTGTTGTTCTGTCCAGATGTCTTGCCGAGGCCTTATCGAAATCAGGGGAGGAAGAATGGAAGAGGATTGAAATGGGATTAGAGAAATATTCCAGAGAGAGGAGATGGAGAAGCATTGAGCTCATTAGCACGGCTTATGCAAGTGGGGCTATACAAAACAGGGGTAGTGGAAAGATAATGAATTTCTTGAGGGATAAATTTCTGAACAAATTCTTCCTTGGATTAATGCTTGGGAGGGCTAGCTTTGATTGTGGGAAGCTCAGTGTTTCTTGAAAGAACCATTTGTGCTTCTGTTATGCCCATTTGTTTGAAATCCATTAAATATTTTACTGTTTTGAGTTATGAAATGCAAAGAAGCTTACATCACCAGTTTGGACTTTGGAAGTGGTACTTTCAGTTTTATTCGGTCCGAATGCTCAATTTCAAAAGGGATTAGAGAAATGAATAACACATACGTTAGCTACTAAACTTATTTTAATTACTTCAATTGAAGTCTCTACCTTTTTTTCAGGTCAATTAAGTCCATTTACAATAATATATAGGGTAGTTAGGTTTAACGTTGGTAGAAAAAGTTAGGTAACTGACAGTTTTAATCTTTGGCTTTACCTATTAGCTTCCTTAGACTGACCACATGAAAGTTAGTGGAAATTAGCATTTTTATTATGTGAATCTCACCAAATGGAAGTAAAGTTCTAATGAAGAGATAAATAATTGTTACATGACTTTTCTTAATAAGCTTTAACTTTAATTGACTAAGTCATAATGTATGAGATTTACTATTACTTGGCCTAATCATATCATTGTGACTATAAATCGTGAGCCGATTGTCTTCTTTACCTATTTTTTAAATGAGAATTGTATACTTATTCTTGAAATCTAATCTCCTAATACTTTTAAGAAAAAA